GGAGGCAGCACAAGAAAAAATACTTGCACATGACTAGAACACATGGAAAGAAACTATGCTGAACAACCAGCACACCAGCCTAATTTATTCTTTCTACAGGAACATAAAACCTTATTGCAAGATGGAGTAAATGTACTTGTTTGTAGGTGTAACTATGAAACCATAAGACTATGCATATATGTGGTTTGAAACTGTGCAGTTTCACTTACCTGTCTCTTCTGAGTCAAATCGTTTTTTATATTCTTTGCCATTGTATATTAGTAATCTCCCATTCCCCATCTTGGCCCATGGTTTTCACATAAAAATAAGAACTTGTTCGACCAAGAGGGTGGCAGGGTTATGTGGTTTATGTGCCTTACAGCTCTTGACTCCTGGATTTGTTTTCAGCCTAGGGTGCATTCTACATGGAGTTTGTATGTTCTCCCTTTGGCTATATGTTTTTTTTTTTCAGGTGTTCCAGTCCCTCCCACTATCAACAAAGACTGAATCCCCTTTTGTTTCCACCTGGTCTTATAAGTCTCTTAATTAGCCCAGGGGAGTGGCTAATTCCTTACAGAGCCTATTTTGACACCTCCTTTCCTTCATATGGAATCCCCATTCCTCTGAGTGCCAACCACTTATCCACACCAGCTGTGTCTCATTCTGGAGCTTTTCTCAACTAACAGTTGGCCATCTTGGCTCAAGGCCACACCAGTTGGCCTGTGTTTTGAGCCAAGATGGTAGCTTCTGCATAAAGCCACCTCTCACTATGTATGAGTGGTTTAACCAAGAGTCTAAGATATTTTAGAGAACTGGAATAAGAGCACCCATTGAAATTTGAGTCTCAGAAAATTTCCAAATTCCTATCCTGAACCTGAGGTTTTTTCAGTTACTTTGTTTCTTGTGTATTAACGTCTTCAAAAGTGTCCATGAAAAGACATGAATTGACAATTTGACCAGCAAACTTTCATATTATACCTGTAATAAAAACATGCATGAAGGAGCAAGAACAAGGTAGCAGCCCTTCATAGAGATGTTCAAGTACTGTACCTTCATGTCTTGCTTAGTCTTGGTATAGAGGTTGGTCTGTCATCTTCTGTCTGTAACATCAATTGTTGTAAAGCAGCAGATGAGATTTCCGAGAAAGTGATCTGCATTACCAGATATAAACATGAACTTCGGGTAATAAAAGCATTCTCTCGAGTTTTAGTGCTGTCTCTTCTTTTATAACACCACTGGATAGTTACAGTCTCTCCCAAGGGATTTATTGATTCACCTTATTCATCCCATGTTTCTTTATGATCTTTCAAGAGCTGGCTTGACAAGTTTCTTCTGATCAATAAGTTTGTAACTTACCTGTCTGGAAAGAGGACAAAAAGCATTGTTTCTTGTTTGATTTGATGTGTTAAGATTCACTCTTCTTTGTGCCAGTGAAAAGGTTTACATTTGTTTATCTACTTTTAATGCTCACTATGCTCGTGTCTTAAAATATCAATTATTATATCAGTACTTTAGACTGGCAAGAAAAAGTATTTACTTGATGAGTCAAGCCTTGTACTGGGAAGGTTAGCAGACTGTGCCTCCCACAGTGACGCACAGGGTAGCGATCAAATACATTAGTCAAGCTTTATTTCAAGGTTGACTTGAAGGAGAAAATAATTTCAGTTGGAACTGGTCTGTGCACTTCACATTTTTTAGAGATGGCATTTTTTTTGTACTGCAAAAACATTTTTTTTAATGAAGGTACATTCAGCTGTACTGAGACCTTGCGACATAAGAACAGTTATAACCAAGAGAACATTCATTCCATCTAGTCCATTTGGTAGAAAATGAATGTGGCTGTTATTCATAATTGTAAATATGATGGAGGTATTAGAAACACATCAATCTTTTTATTTCCAAAGTACTTTACTATTGGAAAATCCTACCTTAATCACGATTCAATTTATGTTTTGGCAAAAGTCTTGAGTGCTATTTAATGATTTAATGAAAGCCTAATGGTTCAGAAGTTTTGACAAACATTAACAAGTTGTTTTGGCTTCATGGCTGCTGGTCTTTTTCATATGTATCAACTTTACCAAGAGTCACCTTTCTGCCTGTTTTGGAATGGAGCTGGCATTCTGGGAATTTCAGACAAGCCAGTACTGACTCTGTGTTGCCCCCTTTGACATCCCTTTAGACGGTTTGGCTGCAAATTAATATTTCTTATTTTTTTAGCCAAATTGTTCTGGTATGATTCATACTAAATTGAACTTACGCCTCAATAATAATATGCTTTAAAGTGCAGATTAAACTGATCTGATTTTTCATGTTACTTTACTTATAGCTTCTCATATTATGTTTACATATTCTTTGTTTTAATATCATATTTTGTTGTATATAATTCCTCTAGAGACATCCATCCATTCATTTTCTAATTATTTTATCCAGTAAAAGGTTGAATATGAGCCAGAGTTTATCCCAGCAAGTAACAGGCACAAGGGTCAATTTAATCAGAAGCCAATTGTCTTTGGGCTGTGGGAGGAAACCGGAGCATCCAGAAGAAATCCATCTAAACAAGGGGAGAAAATACAACTCCATGTGGATAGCACCCCAGGAATTGAACAGAGGGCCTCAGAACTGTGAGCAGCAATTAGAACTACTGCCCAGCTGTGCCACCCTCTGGGGCCATTAGATGACCGAAATTACCCTTAAACATGTTTTCCGAGGTATTGTTTTTGACCACATTGTACATATTACTGCAATGCATCCATATTTGATCTCTATGATCACTTTACCCTACAGACTTGTTAACAATCACTGAAAAAACAAACTGACTTTCAATTATTATATTGAGTTAGATGTTTTGTTCATTGAAAATCAATGAAAGCTTATTAGCCAGTCCATGGAGCTGTTAGACTGCTTCCATTTGTCTTTGATTTGAGTTTTCAAATGACTATGCTGAAGCTGTTTAACAACAGATTCAAAAAACGCAGTCTAGATATAGACAGTAACTCGTGCAGAACACAAACTTCATTTAGCAAAAATCAACCAAGTAAAGCAAAAATATATTTGTCTTAAGATAATGTACTGTAGCATGGACAAAACAAATGACAATTCATAATGTTAGGATGAATATTCATTTGAAAAAAAATCTGTTTGTGTTTAGGACACTTGCTGTCAAGGGGAAGCAATTTCAATGTACGTGATGCACCACTTACTGTAGCTGATCTTAGATACCTTTTTAAAACATTGACAGAACCTGCCACACATCAGCGTGAAATACAGGAACAAAAGACAAGTCATAACTGCATTAAACCTGTGTGATACTGTATTTTAAAGACCAGTCATAACTGCATTAAACCTGTGTGATACTGTATTTTAATGCACTCCAACCGGTTTTAGAGTTGTCTTTTAAATCCAAGGAACTGAACAAGGAACTAAACAGAATGCTAAGCATAATTTAAGAATGATAATAAGTGTATTATGGGCAGAAAACGCAGGGAGAATTGGCTCGGCTGTGATTGTATACATGTCCGTGTGGCCACCGATGGACTGGCATCCCTTACAGGGTGTACCCTAACTTGTGATTTTTTGTTTGTTGGTGAAACACAATTATGGCATTTCCCTTTTCAGAAGAGAGCATTTCCGTTGAAATGAATAAACCGATTAAATCAAATTTGCATTTAAACCAGGAACAGGGAACAAATGGTCCCACAGAAAATACCGTAATACCACAGAAAACATGTTACAGGATAATTCTGGCCATGTAATACCCCAAGAAGAATTACATACAACAAAATATGCTATTATATACAAGAATTAAATACAATACATACTGCACAAGGAAGCAATGTAATGTGTGCTTATTATAATATCTTTCAGCCTTTAAAGGTTCCAAAGTATATTCAAACACTGAAGAGGAGCTCTGTTTGAACATTGTAAGAGAAAGAACCAGAAATGAAGTGGCCTGCCCATGTGAAAACAGAAGAAATACCAGAGAAAACATGTTACAGGATGCGTGTATTAAATTAGATGATGTAAATTGACCCATCGATTTCCTGTCAGTGAAGAGTTGTACAGGTCTGTTGAGTTCTGTCTTAGGTTAAAAATGAAGACCTTTAAAGTACTGGGAAAAATCCTCAGGCTTTTGGATTGTCCATTCCAAGCAGTTTCTGGTATGCAGTTTTTGATCCTTCCAGATCCCTCGGGCTCTGCCTAGGAGCTCTGCCCGTGGCAGCTCGGTTTGGAGATTCCAGTGGCATCTGATGTCACTGTCAGCCCAGTCTACATGGTGCCTGTGAAAGCTGTTCTGTCTTCTTCCAGGTGCTTCCCCAGAGGACTGCCTTCCAGGAGACCGCTCCAACAGTGCTTGTCTGGTCTTGAATCAGCTAGCTCCTGGCTCCCTCCGGTCAGAGCACCACAGTTTCCTACCCAACCTGCGACGTCAGACTCCACTGGGCTCAGATGCCTAATAGACTAAGCACAGCTCTGGACTTTGGTGGCTCATCCTACACCCTGTCCTACACCAATTTTCCTTGCAGTTCCCCCTTCCTATGCTCCAGTCTGAAAGTCCGCCTGCCTGCAACCTGGGCTGCCCGTCATTCCTCTGTGGCCCCCTTTTCCGCAGGAACCTGGCTGCGGGAGTCCACTCCGACATTAATGAGAGCAGCACTCCAGTGGCCCTTGCTCCCATATTCTAGTTGGTGGACTTAAGCAGACATTTTCACCCTAGGCTGGTGCTGTGTTGTGTATCCCGAGGTTCAGTGAGCTGGCCACTCCCCCAGGACTGTCGCGTTCTTGGGTCTGATACTATGATGATACTACACCCTGATGGGGACAGCAGCCCATCATAAGGCCAAGCACCAATTTAATCCAATTAAGTTGACCAACATGTCTTGGGAAGGATGGAGGAAACCCATTTACACTCAAGGAGAACAATGCAAACCCTGCTCAGAAGGCACCCCAGTCCAGAATCAAACCTACAACAAACAAGCTATGAGGCAGAATAAGAATAAGAATAAGAATCTTTATTTACAGATTACATTTCAAATTATGAAATGCTTTACAGAAAGGTACAAACAGGTCACTACACATGTAATATTAGTTATGAAAAACTTTAAAAATATACAAATATTATAGACAAAACAGATTGACTGCTTTATCTAGTACAGGGTCGTGGGAGAGTCAGAATCTTTCCTGGTAAATAATGGGCACAAGGCAGAGATACCAGTCCATCATAGAACAGACACACAGACATACACACACTCATAACAGGGCCAATCTTCCCAGAAGCCAATTAACCTGTTTGGACTGTGGTGGACAAACCTGAGTGCCTGGCAAAAACCCAGGAGAAATCTGGCATCATATACAAACTCCACACAGATAGCACCCGATGAATTGAACCCAGGGCTCCAGTGCAGTGAAAAGTTTAAAATGGAGTTTAAAATACACCAAGACTCTGAGAAGTGTACTTCTTACATGGTATTTATTATCTCCAGTACCAGTGCAAGCACTGTGGTTAATGAATGATAATTCAAAAATGAGTGGGTATAAAAATCAGACATGATAATGGAGAGCCACTGAATATTTAAAATGGAATATTAATTAGTAAATCTGAGCCAGAAAGGATTTATGTGCAGAAGTATAGATATAGATCACATTTGGATGTCTGAAATTAAAAATATTTTCAAGGGCAGGCTGGTCAGTTCAGCATAAAATGATGCCTTGAGGGAGCACTTTCCTAGAATTTGAAAGTTAGCGCCAAATTACATCATTATCACAATCTACTGAACTTGAATTGAAGAGGGCTTCCAGAAATATTTGCTTTGGACCCTTTATGATGTCAGATTAATGGTATGTTTTACTGTATGGACCTGGATTTATGTTTTTCAATCCAGTGTATTCTATAACTCAAAATGTAATTTGCACAATTCCAGGGTTTAGCAATGCTCATAATTGTCAAATTCAGGCTGCACCTTGACTTTTTGCATTACATATTCTGCATGCAAAAATGCAGACTCCAAATTTAGTTCCATCTTTCCTGTTCTGAGGAAATATTATTTTGGCATAAGGCTACTTATAAAACCACATCAATTACTGGAAGAATGTACCAGATTGTACAGTATAAACAAATGGAAAATAACATATAAGAAATTATTTGTTTTCTTTTTCAAATCTGGCCTTGACCTTCAATTTAAAAGCACATTTGTTTGTTTTTTATTGAGTTGTGTTGACAGTCAATACATGTTGTATTAACGTTGTCAAAAATTATAGTTTACATTACTTCAGAAACAATGCCTTTTCTATTAAAAGCCCTTTTTAATATCTCTTTGACATATTATTTAAGTAACAATTATAAAAAGTAAAAGGTACTGATTTGGCTACATGCAGTATAGGCTATATTTATCATATCATGAACAGATAACAGATAGAACATAAAGACAAGTTCTGGTGTCACAAATGGTGTCAAATATGATTTAAATCAAGGAAAGAATGTTAATAGCATAATATAAAATGCAATGTAAACAGATCCTATATACAGAACACTTAGGCACTAAAATCCCAAGGAGAAGTAATCGGGTGTGAAACGCTCAGATTACGTAAGTGTTTTGAAAATAGCACTCAATGTTAACACAGCATATAAACAGATAATAATAGTGTGGTAAATTAAACATATCTCTGACCAACATTTGCAAACACCACTTGTTCTCATTATTTAATGAAACAGAAGAATCCCAAGCAATTTTTCATCCAAAATATCAGTTCAATATTTAAAAATGTCAAGAAAGTAGCCATATAAAACACCAAGCGAATATATTATGAATATGTGTGTAAAAAACAGTAACTATAAAGAATTTGAATAAAACAGATCAGATAGAGAAAAGGAGTTTCTTTTACAAAATAAAAAGATCAGATAGAGAAAGGGAGTTTTATTACCACTTATTTTATGAAAAAATAGAAGTCCCGTATAAAGTAAATTATATATGATTTATTACCATTTAATTATTTGTCAAAAGTGATTATATTTGTGGTCTTACCCTAATATACAGTAGCCTTAAGACTAATTTAACCATCAGAAAGCTCAACTTGCTTTCTTGCAACAGTTTTTGCCTGAATTTGATGAAAATTCACATGAAAGATGAATACAAGTATATCTGGCAAAGTTAATGAATTGCACCAAACAATGAGACGTAAGTATTTCCTTCTTTATATGAACAAAGCAATGTTGAGGAAATAGCAGTCCCAGTGTTTACTGAGTTTTAAGTAAGCACTTTAGAAATGACCACAGTAAACTCATCTCATTCAAGTCAGTACACTTCACATTAACCCTCCTACTGTACTTCACCTTCCTCTTCTTATTATGTCTCAGGCTTAACGTCACAGTGATGGGCTTTGTGGTGAGTAAGGTCCCACTTTCAACTTCACAACAAGTAGGTACACGAGGGTTTTAAGGAGAATAGAGATCTTTTTAAGAAGACTTCAGTTCCTCGTTCTTGTCAGCTGTATTGAAAAGAAGAAGAGAGCTGCTCTTTGTCCCATTTTCAGCTCACACATATTCCTCCTACACTGCCGGCAGATCCTGCTGCAAAACAGCTGGTTGGTATGCAGTTAGTCTAGGGTTTGGTGGGTAAAAAGATCCTTGTGACGCTTTACTGTGGGGAATGTTACAACATACAAACATTATCCCGCTAGCAAACATGACACCCGAAGACACCCACCCTATGTACAGGGCTTCTCCCAGCTCTCGTCTCTGAGCATCCAGGAGCAGGGGATTGTAGAAGTCCCTGATGATCACGTGGGCGGTCCAGGACACTGGGATAAGGACACAAAGGCAGGCGACAATTAAAATGCAACCAGCAATGGCAAGGATGATCCCTTTTGTGTGGTCATTGTCCTGAATGCAGACAGTACATTGCATCCCCATGGTGGCTATCAGCAGGCCCAAGACCCCCAGAGCAATCGAGCAGCACATCAGTCCCCGGGCGGCCTGGAGGTCCGGAGGCAGGATCAGCAGGGAGTCGTAGACTTTGCACTGCATCCTGATGTTGGCCTGATGGAAGCAGTTCATCCACAGCCCTTCCCAGCGGGTCTCGAACACGATGATGTTCTCCCCGATAAAAGCTGTCACTCTCCACATCGGCATACCCGTGGCGGCAGAGGCTCCAAAAAGGCCGATGAGGCCCAGGCATAAGGCAACGATCTGCAACAGCCGCTGATCCATCTTTCACTCCTGGCCAAGGTGCTCTGACAGACCCTGACAGAAACACGCCGATAAAATCTTCTGTACTTGCCTGTGGGAAAACAAAATTGCCTGCACCTGACTGGCCAAGTGATGTGTGGGCATCATGGTCTGCTGCTCCCAAGTTTTCACATTCCCTGAAAGCTGAACTGGTCTGGCAGCTTTCACGGATCAAGGGTATGTGAAGGATTTATGGAGTTATTGGAAAACAAGCAATTCCTTTATAGAAATTATTTTCCCATTGTAAACTGTCTGTATTTAATATGAATGGAATGTGTACCTTAATATGTAGAATGTAAAAAATAGATATACAGTATATATTATTAAACATATATACAATACTTATTAATGTATCATTTCAGTGTGTATACTTATCAATACAACCGAAAAACAAGTTAAAGTCATTTTATATTTTCATATTAAATTTTGTATATCTCTTTCATTTTGGCTTCCAATTGAAAGTCTAATACAATCGTATAGGTGGTGTTGAAGTTAATGGATAAACAAAACTTAATTTATTTAAAGAATAATGTCCCTCATGATCTAATGACTCGTCAGGTTTTTGACAGTAATAAAACCTCACAGCATATGTGTATCAAAAATTACAGCCCTCAGCAAGGTGGCTATTAACATGTTGTGATGTAATCTGCAGCATCATATGTGTAATATGAGTAGCAGACATCCAAAACAGTCATCTCCTACGTGGAAATGTAGTGGTAATAACAGTGAAAAATGTTCAGCACAACATCTGCCAGCACATCAATTCAGGCATGAAAAAATCAAACATTTGAAATTCCCAAAGCAGAACAGCCACATGACAAAATGAGAATTTATGGAAAGGAGACCAAATTTTCTGGAGTTTTGAAACAAGATTTTCTGTGGAGACTTTGTGGACCATGAGTGATACAAATTGCACAGCTTGGATGTTTTCCCAGTGGGGAATGTTTAATAAATCCTGGCTATTGACAAGGATGTGTGGAGTAAAAAGAATTAGTTGATTTTCACAAGCTTTTTACATATCAAAGTAAAACACATTTTCCAGGTTTTTTGGAAGAGCCTGCAGTTTCGACTCAATAATTATTTAAATACTTGATTGAAAATGTATTATTTTTAATTTTCAAATCTTTTGATTTCTTGACAGAATTGTATTATTTCAATTATTTTTTTAGATTGAATTAGTTGAGTGTGCTTGCTCCTTTGAAGTGTCGAGGTTCAAGGACCACAGAAAATATTATTCCAAAACTCTTGTGTTTTAAGTTGAATCTGAAGCCTGATAGATGGAGGAGCTTATCTGTTTAAAACAATATCTATAACTTTTTCCACTATTCTTTAATCCTAAAACAATGTAATCCTCCTGATTTGTTCTATTACCTTGACACAAAAGTAAATCTTACTGTCATTTTTTTTTTATTTGTAGAAGTCTTCCACTATCACAGAGGTGCTTTTGGCAGATAGAAAACAAATGAAAAAAAGTGTTCAGCAGCTGACATGTTTAACCAAACTACGTTTTTCTTTGCACCATTATAGTAATTTCAGAAATATAACATCAAAGAGTGACTAGGCACCAGAAACTAATGTAAAAATCAAATTAGTCAGAATTATTTAAGAATTATTTTCAATGAATGCATTTTGCTGCCCAGTGGATCTCATGAACCCTTTCCCCAATAATATTGCAAATCCTTATTGTGTTGTTACCGCTTCCATTTTAATTCATTTCAAAAATATCTAATTAACTGCAGGCAAATTAAATGAGAAAAAGACATGTTTGTAAAGAGTATAAGAATCCTTTATCATATAATGGGAGGGCCTTGTGTTGCCAAAACACTGAAGTTTTCTGAACAAACTAGTTGTCATGCAGTGTCTCATATCTACAAAGGCCAATTTAAAACAGACATCAGTTGAATCCAAAGCATTAATTTGCTGCTAGTGCAAGCTACCCCCAGGAGGAAATGATGATACCTTTCTCATTTGTTCCAATTATAGACACACTTGGAGAAAGGTTATTTTCAGAATTCTCTATTCAAAATTGCCTGGAATTAATTACTAGACTGCAGACATGCTAACAACATTATGCCAGCTTTATTAACAGCATGCTTCTAATGTTTTGCATTGTCTCAGTAACAGCAGTAGCCTTACAGTATAGTGGTAGACACTCCTCTGGAAATTACAGTTCAATCTTAATCACTTTTCATTGTTTGTGACATAGTTGTCCTCAGGAAAGAGAATCTTTAGCTCTTAAAATTACAACTGGACTTTGTTATTTGTAAAGAAATCGCTGATGAATTTACAATGGAAATAAGAACAAGGTATAGAGATATAGTATATAGGTTTGTGTTCTTTAAAGAATAGCAACATATCATTTAGTGCTCAGTACTGTACCACAATCCAGAGTAGTAAATGGGTACAGAGTTACCAAAGGCTCAATATAGACCTGTTTTCCACACATCCAGTGTGGACTCCAGAAGCACTGAAAGGAACCGGGACTGAAAAGCAAAAGGTAGCTAAGATGAAGTAACTTTAACAACATTTATAGCAGCTCAAGTGACAGTAGCAGGCTGCTTTTCTCAGATACACATGCGCCACCATAATGTAGAAGTAATCAATTAATCAAAAATACTGCAGAGGCCTGAAATGTGATTACTTTATTGGTTTAATAAAACTGAAGACAGATTACAAAAAACAGCTTAAAATGTTTAAGTTAAACATTAAATCATCTTGAACTTCATGTGCTACATAAAAAGAGCAAAACAGGAAGCATAAAATTATATTAGTATATTTTTAATTTCAATTTGAGTTAAACTGCTAAAGACACTACAAAGGATAAATAAAGGTAAAAAGAGATCAAGGTGTTTTTAATAAGTAATAAGTACAAAACAATAAGCATATAGGTGCAATGTTAAATTTACTTTTGCTCCATTTCTATAATTGAGTGAATTTCACAAAAATACAAAACTCAAAATTGGTATGAAAACACTATAAAAATTAAGAAGGGGTGGTAATGCATAGGTAACAGAGGGTAATCTAACCTGCAGAAATTATACATATGCTACAAATGTAAAGTTACTGTAGCTTAGATAAAACACTTTCACTTCAGTACTAATAACTGGTATTTCTGTAATATTAAGTGTTTTCTTTACTTATAATATCAGGTGTCTGATTGCACTCACATGTGATTTTAGCATTCAGTAAACAGATGGTTGACAACACAAGAGGCTCATGTTCACATTCTTCCAGAGCTTGGCCGTTTACACCCGTTCATCAGGTGCTGACAGTAAACCCCATGATGTTGTCAGAAACAAAGGAAGCCTTATTGTTAGCAAGAACAAAGGTCTTTTACCATATTTCATCCGAAAATAAAATCCCATGCAGAGAGCATGTCCTGTTCTGTTTTAACCCTTTAAGACACATCAGCTGTGAACAAGCTCTGCACCCTTTCACTGATGTTGAGTTTTAGAACAGCCATGTTCATTTTCTTCTTGGTTTTCAAACATAATCACTTCTGCTGCGCACACTTGAGGGGAGGCGCTGCAATACATGGGGCTGGTACCCTACATGCTGCGCATTTCTGGAATATAGTAACCTTTGTGAATTTTTGTCTTCAGGTACACTGCGGCACGCAAAAATGCACCCACCAGCAAAGAGAAAAGCAGACGTCACCCACCCGATGTAGAGGGCTTCTCCCAGCTCTCGTCTTTGAGCGTCCAGAAGCAGGGGGTTGTAGAAATCCCTGATGATTACGTTGCCAGTCCAGGACACAGGGATAAGAACACAAATAGAGGCCATAATTATAAGACAGCCGCTTATAATGAGGATGATGCTTTTGGCACGGTCGTTATCCCGGATGCAGGATGTGCATTGCATCCCCATGGTGGCTATCATCAAGCCCAAGAAGGCCAGGGCAAGAGAACAGCACATCAGTCCCCGGGCGGCCTGGAGGTCCGGAGGCAGGATCAGCAGGGAGTCGTAGACTTTGCACTGCATCCTGATGTTGGCCTGTCGGAAGCAGTTCATCCACAGCCCTTCCCAAAGGGTCTCCATCACAATGATGTTCTCCCCGATGAAAGCCGTCACTCTCCACATCGGCATGCCCGTGGCGGCCGCAGCGCCTATCAGGCCGATGGTACTCAGAATCATGGCGACAATTTCCAGCACCGCTAGAGCCATCTCTGGATGCAAAGCACGGCCTGGTCCGTGTTAGAACAGGTTCTGCAGGTGCTTCAGACTTGAGAGAAGGAGACCGTTGTTCGCATTTAACAGGTGAGGTGATGTGTGGAACAGAAGCTCTGCTTCCTGAGAGCTTTCACAGTTCAGCTCTAACTGATTCACCTGAACCGGTTTAGCAGCCTGAATTGAGCCTATAGTGGAAAGAGGAGGGATTTGTGGGGTGTGTTTTTGAATTAAATCCCCTGAGGACCTGTGTTTTTCCTTGTGCTGTATGCTACACAGTTTCAGTGATCCTTCTAGGTGTTTGTTTGCCATGATACCATTGCCGTGGTCATTTTTTTCTATTATCCTGGATAAAGAGTCATAAATCTCAAATAATAAAAATAATATTTTAAGTATAATTGTACATTTAGATTTAGTTTAGATTTACAGAGATATTAGCATGCATTTTGTTCTTTTTTCAATGCATGCTTACAGTTAGAGGCTAAGTTGGATACATGAAAATAAAAGTTATATTTGCAGTTCAAGAAAAGAAGTGTTAGTCGTTATACTCTATATAACATTATTTTAATTATTATTACTCAGTTTTTGATTGAAATATTGAAGCACATCAAAGCCTTAGGACTGTAAGTAGGGCTGTGTTATTTCTTGTAATTATCCAGCATTTTTATACATGACAAAAATGCATCTTAAAAATAACATATAATATTTGGTTTATACTGTAGTTGATGTATAAAGAGACCTTTTACGAAAAAATGAGATATGAAAAGCCAGGTTGCACAGAGTAATTTAAAGACCAGGGAAGTAGGCATGATGCTATTTATAGATATGAAAATTAATTCCAAACACAAGGAAAGCTATTATACTGTAAATGTTGGCAGCAGATTCAGTGTTCCTGTGAGTGTAATAAATAAGTGTTTTTCCAGTCACAAAGTAGAAGCAGGACTGTGAGGACAACTTAAAGCGATTAAAAGATTCCAATGGGTCAATTATAGAATATAATAATAATTATTATTATTATAACTACTTTCTGGACACTCCACTCAAAGCGCTTTACAGGTAATGGTGACTCCCCTCCACCACCACCAATGTGCAGCATCCACCTCACCACACATCAGAATATCAACGCTCACCACACATCAGAATATCAAAGAGCTTAGGAAATTGAAGAGAATCAACAGCCTAATGCCCAGGGAAAACAGAAAATACAAGCCTCAGTTGATACAAGGCCCTTGAATTTTAAGAGCTCATTTGGAGATGTCTGAAGAGTGGTTAGTTACTGTGAAATGCTTGAAATAAAAGGCCTGATCATTGGACATGAAAGAAGAAAACCTGTTACTAGCAAGAGTTCCTTTCTGGGATGCCAGGATGATTTCCAGTCGAAATCCAAACAATGCACCTTGCTTACATATGGATATTGTCAAACAGGCCATGTGTCTGAGCTGAATGGTGATCCTTAGCAGTTGAGGTATTCCTGTTCCTTTCTGATTACTTCAGAAATAAGTAGCGCTGGACTTCTACTCGTTTGTATTTGTTCCTGAAGATCCTTTGTTTTTGGATAGCTGCTGGCTTTCACCACAAAGCTGAAAGCATGCCTGCTCTGCTTGCTTCCATTAAATCTTCTCCTCTTGATCTTGTAATAGTACCAGTTACCTGCAGAAGCCTGTGGCTAAAATACCTCTTTCCCTTTATAATGCTGATCCCTGACTAGACCTAAAAGCCGTCTAGGCGTGGTTTGAGTGTGACTTTTGCAAACTAGCTGGAACTGGTGATCTCTTCTATACTCATGGGCAAAGCAACAAGTGCAAAACAAGTATCCTGTTTGGTTTTATAAGTTACGTTTCTCAAAGCTTAGGTGACAACAGTAACAAATATAATTCACGGGGTCAAATTCTGGTTCTGAGAGCCACTGTGTCTGCTTGTTTTCTATTAATTGTTTAAGTATTAACTGCCTGATTCCACTAATACAAGCTTATAAGAACTGCACCAGAAAAGCAGTTATTCTCTCCAGGATTAGTATAAGAGGTAAATACCTCTCCCCTAAATCGTATTTTCTCCAGCTTTGTTCCTCCCTGAGAGCTGTCCATGTCTGAAAATTGAAAACCACAACCACATCAGATTGTGCAGGTATTTTAAATTTTGAATCATCATCAAGATCCATTCCAAATCATCACTGACCAGTTTTGAAACAAAAAAATGTTGTTAAAGTTGAGGATAAACTTAGCCTTTTATAAAACTATTTTACTATTTCCTTTTGATCAGAAAGACAGTTTCATTAAATGAAAGCCCATTACAGTATCATTTCACATTTTGACACAAGTGTATTTTTATTAAATGAATGGTAAATTAAAACTGCAAATCACTTAGTCTTAAGCAAAAACAAATGGGCAAGGTAACTTAAGATATATTGAAGTAAATTTCCACCACTTACTGTACAAAAAGAATGAAATTTAGCATTGAAAATGTTTGAAATGGAAATAACTTTGAAACAAAATACATTTAATATTTACTGTAATGTACTCCCAATTGTGATTTTCTTACTCGTAGAGCAAAAATTCAGCCCCAGAACTGGATCTGTGTGCAGAAATTCAGAATTCAGATTACTTTTAATCATTCTGTTCCTTAACAGAAAATGAAGTTGGACTACAACAAAAGAAAACTGGCCTGTTTTATATTATGAAAAATGAAGCAAAGAAATGACGCAGTCAAGTAACAAAGAACACATTCAGAATTCCCTCTGATGCCCACTGAACACGTAAGACCAGTTTCGAAAATTGTTGTCACAGAAAAGCAGGTGATCAACAACCAATGACGTTGTACAAGGTACAAGGCCTGCTATTTATCACAAACAAACACAGAAACAATTTCTGTCTGCCTTCCCTTTCCACTCCCAAAGTGAAGCAGCTTGTTAAGTTCTCTGACAAGGAAGAAGGAACTGGCACATCATATCATAGAAGAATAAACAGCTGTCATACTGTAGTTTTACCAATTTTTAGGCTTGCTATTTTTTTAGCACATGTTGATTTTGATGCCTCTGTTCTGTAGTCATTCTCTCATTTGTTTGAAGCACAACAATGAACATTTTCTGTAACACAGCACTATGCGAAAGGTCATCACTTGGAATCTGAATAAATCAGTGGGCATCCTCACCTCTGTCAGTTTGCTACATGTTCTTCAGTGAGCACTTGTGTGGCATCCAGAGGAAACCCATGTGAACACAGGGAAAACATACAAACTCCCGACAGATAGCACCCCAAGTCTGCAATTGAACCCAGGACCCCAGGCTGCAAGGCAGAAATGTTACCCATTAGAGCTTATTTCAAACAAAAAGAAATTTCTGGGGGGAATGAAAGAGAGTTTCAGTCTGGAAAGCTTTCACAGGCTCAGGGCAGATGCACAAATTCGGTACCGTGTCTCTGAAACTGCTACATTTCCAGTGTGCTATCTTTCTAATATGGGTCTGACCTCCAGCCTACCCCAGCTCCCCACCAAACCCTCTTTAGGAGTGGAACTAGCACACTCTGCTCTTCACTTCACATCCACTTGCTAACTAACTCACCCACACATGCACTGCAATTATGTTCCTCCAATACAACAATGAACACAATGCCTAATTATTACCCTACTTACAGTCCTAAGGCTTTGATGTGCTTCAATATTTAAATCAAAAACTGAGTAATAATAATTAAAATAATGTTATATAGAGTATAAAAAGTGGGGTGTTCCTCAAAGCTATCATGAAAGCTCTTTTGGATGCATTTTTGAAAATAATGTGAGCACAATCTGACAAATGTCATAGCACGCAGATGCAGATGCAGATTAATGGCACAGTGCCAGCTGAAACACTATTTTACTATTTTGAGGCTTTTTGCTCTCCTTTGAGATTGTTTGACAAGAACGTACTGGGTTTCCCAAAGGCTGACAGAAGATGGACTTCAGGTGAGCATCGGGGACAGTCTTGTAGACACGGAACAGAGCAGGAGTATCTTGAATATTAATAAATCAGTACATGGTAGTAGGTAGACCATTTTCTGTAGTATTTTCCTAAAGTGTTGTGATGCATCAACAAATACAAAGCCTAGAAGAAGTCCTGCTAGTCACACTCTGTTGCGAGCCAGTTATTATGAACTCTGTGCAGCTCTCTAAGAGAGTCCAATGGCTTACGAGTCCAAGAAGGGTGAAGCAACAGAGGTGTCAGTTGTTCCAGGTGAGGTCGAATCTGGGTTGAGAGATCAGCGAGGCAAACAAATCCGAAAAAAGGAGGGAGACGAAAGGGTTGTCGAGAGGTCCAAGGCTAAATGGATCTTCGTCTCGGTGGTCAGAGGTAGAGGACGATGCAAGCTCAGGGGGTGGATAGATTCCTATTACCCAGCGAGGACTACAAGTGAACGGAAGGTTTAAATAGTGAAGGAAGAGGAGATTGGATAATGAAGATGAATTGATGCCTGCTGTGCTCGTAACACACTCAGAGAGGACAAAATGCGTTTCAGATTCCTGCTGTTTTTCTTCTTTCTCTTCCATTTTGCAGGCCTTATGAATTCCAATAAAATAAAATTTGTATTACTCCAAGCATCTAATTAAGGGGCTGTTAAGAGCACTATGACTGAGTCGCTGGGGGTGTCACACTACACAACTGATGGTAACGTGTGTGTGCGCTGCGACTCTCTACAACTCGCTGTGATTTTCTTCCGATTATATAAATGAAGGCCACGACTAAAAATCCTAGGAAAAGTTGTGTAGTGTGAGACCAGCTTTACAAAACATCTGCCTGCAAATTCATTCTGAAGAATTAAACCTGAAAATATAGGTCCAATCTAGGATTTATAATAAATATGACTGTATATTGTTTCTGTCAGTTCCACTAACTAAACATTAGTCTTGTGGTTCACTGTCTTTCAAAGTCATTGTAATCAAGACAGGAGTAAATACCACAGACCTTGTCATGGCAGAGTTTTTCTTTTCAAAGTGTGAGTTAGTTAAAGGCTTTCCTGTATAACGCCTTTGATACAGTCATCACAAAGGCAAATTCTGAACAAAAGATATGTTTTGAGCTCATATTGCAGGTATAGTCTTTAAACACAGTCCAGGAAACAAAACTCAGCTATCTCTCGTACAATCAAGCCTGTAAGCAAATTTACATAACAGGTGTGACTGACAAGTCTCAGTGCTATGTGGTAGATTTCCATTTGCGTAATGAAACAGACAAGATGTCCACAGGCAACACTCCAGTCCAGAAATGGGGCTGAGCATTGGTAGTTGAATTTATGGACAAAGCAATTCACAGAGAAATATTTAATTTGTTTTTATGGTACAGATTTCCTTATACAACATAATAACATTGAACCCAGAGGCCATTGCATACCTTTAAAATCATGATTACGAAACCATGTTTTGGTTTTGAATTATTATTTTAAATAACCTGTACACATTCATGTACAACAAACAGGTCTGTTGGAATTGGACAATTGAACAGTTTTTTCATAATGGTTATTTTTTAAATAAATTGCTGCATAAAATTCTAATTCCTCATTTGAATGAGAAAAGGTTATTATACTAATGCTCACCTGGAATTCTCTTTGTCTACCCTTGTTCAACAAAATATATATAATAAACTTTTGTCTGAGTGCTGTCTTTATTTTACAGCAGAATTTACAATTAACACATAATATTATGAAAATGTGTAGTTACATAGAATAAATTGTATTTGATCTCTAAAAGTATGAAAAGAGGATACTCTAAATGATTATGACAAAAGAAACATATTTACTTCAATTTGTTTTAGTAAACACAGATACGAATATCAAGAATGACATTTATTACAAAATAAATCACAGATTTGTCCAGGATAATAATTCCAGTACAAGGTTAAACAAGAAGTGGAAACAGATTAATCATTTGAAATACCATATACATATTATATATGCACTGTTTACACATTCTTTAATATAGACTATTTACAACCAAGGTGAACAAAGTTAAAACATAATGTGAATTTAAGTTAGATAATAACTTGTGAGGTGAGATCTTTTTACTCAGAATTCATGTTATTACATGAGTGCTGTCTGACATGTATAAATCAATAAAACACTTACAGTACTTTGACCAATTCAAGGAATGCATTCATTAAAAAGCAAGCGAAAGAGATATCAAATGAACTACGAAGAAAAAATGACAACAGCTGCAAAAGTCAGTGTAAAAATAGAATATATCCTTTCTCTTACTTCTCAAAAACCAGCACAGGAAGATTTACTTCCAATAATGTTTCAAAACTCTGGAACTCAATCCCTTCTGCTGGTCAGTTTGGCTTTTGGTAATTGAAGCATTTCATATTTTCTCAGATGTACTGCCCTCTTTTGCTGTATATAACTGAACCCTGTGGTGGCAAAGAGTAAGCTGGCTGGTAAGTATAAGCTGGCTGATAGGTATAAGTTGGTTGGTAGGTGTAAGCTGGCTGGTAGGTGTAAGGTTGTTTGTAGTTGGGAGGAAGGGAGCTTCCATTGTACATATACTTTTCATCTTCTTGTGCTCGAGGTGCGTGGCGGCACAGCAGTATTACCCCAGCAGCAAACAGAATGGCAGACGTCACCCACCCGATGTAGAGGGCTTCTCCCAGCTCTCGTCTCTGAGCGTCCAGAAGCAGGGGATTGTAGAAATCCCTGATGATTACGTTGCCAGTCCAGGACACAGGGATGAGTGTGGTGATACAAGCCAGAAGAAAAAGACATCCACCTACAATCAGAGTGATATGTTTGGCACGGCCATTTTCTTTAAAAGCCGCTGTGCATCGCATCCCCACGATAGACACTATTAGGGCAAAACTGGTCAGAGCAATCGAGCAGCACATCAGTCCCCGGGCAGCCTGGAGGTCCGGAGGCAGGATCAGCAGGGAGTCGTACACTTTGCACTGCATCCTGATATTGGCCTGACGGAAGCAGTTCATCCACAACCCTTCCCAACGGGTCTCCATCACGATGATGTTCTCCCCGATGAAAGCCGTCACTCTCCACATCGGGAGGCCTGTGACAGCGGCCACACCAATCAGTCCGATGAAGCCCAAACATATGGCAACGATTTCCAGCGCCCCCTTCGCCATTGTCTCAAATCCTTCTCTAGACTCGGCTCTTCGGAAGTCTTACAACTAAGCCTTGAAATGGGAGAGATGACTTGCTGGTGAAGTATTTTCACACCCCAGCGAAACTTTAAATGATGTGACCTTACAGGTTTAGCTACATTACTGTGCCCTTTTAAGGAAACCGGAGATTCTTGACTTTCTTGAATCAAACAAGAAAACATTTAATCGTCTCTTCAATACTCAACAAATCAATAACGATGATCTGAACCTGTTGCTTATTAATTTTTCTAGTTCTTTTTAAATATGTAGATTATTCCGGTTAACCTTGTAAGATTTTATTCTGTTGGTTTTTAACTGTCTCCTCTCTGTTGGATCCTTTGTTGACAGAAAAAGAACAGCAGCATGAATTTATCACGTATTTTGGAGGAAGTTTGCCATTGATGCCCTTTTTCAAAATTAAATACCAAATGTATGAAAATTCAAATGCCAGCAGCCATGTTACTGTTCAACTCATGAGTGGCAACTTACTGAAGCTAAGCAGGAGGAGTCTGGTTAGTACCTGGTTGGGAGACCTCTGGGGAAAAACTAAGACTGCTCCATGAAAAGGTATTAGATAGACCAGTAGAGGGTGCTCACCTGGTGGTTTGTGTGGCTCCTAATAATATAGGACCCATATTTGGGGGTATTCCAAAATGCCCAATTATCAAGTATTTGGATGCCCAATGGAAATTTTGGGATTGTCCCATTTTGGGACTATATATTTTGGTGACACTATACCATACTGTCCTTCAGCTGAGACGTAAAACTAAGGTCCCGACTCTCTGTGGTCATTAAAAATCCCAGGGTGTTTCTCAAAAAGAGTATGGGTGTTACCCTGGTGTCCTGGCCAAATTTCCCCTTGGCCTTTACCAATCACAGGCTCCTTATAATCCCCATCTATGACTCCCCATAACTGATAGTTGGTGTGTGGTGAGTGTACTAGTGCACCATCCATGTGGGTGCTGTCCATTGGTGGTGATGAAGGGGTGTCCCCATAAAAGTGCTTTGAGTGAAGTGTCCAGAAACCTCTATATGAGTGTAGGAATTTATTATTATTATTATTA